ATTTCTATTATTTCTATTATTTCTATTATTTCTATTATTTCTATTATTTCTATTATTTCTATTATTTCTATTATTTCTATTATTTCTATTATTTCTATTATTTCTATTATTTCTATTATTTCTATTATTTCTATTATTTCTATTATTTCTATTATTTCTATTATTTCTATTATTTCTATTATTTCTATTATTTCTATTATTTCTATTATTTCTATTATTTCTATTATTTATTTCTATTATTTCTATATTATCTTATTTCTATTATTTCTTATTCTATTATTTCTATATTTCTATTATTTCTATTATTCTATTATTCTCATTATTCTCATTATTCTTATTATTCTCATTATTCTCATTATTCTCATTATTCTCATTATTCTTATTATTCTCATTATTCTCATTATTCTTATTATTCTTATGTCACGGAATTCACCGTATAGTGTAACCTTACAAGCACTAATCCCGGTACTCCTTCGGAGTACTCACTCCCATGATTACTAACACTATATCATTCATTTCATTTGTGTGCCCTATATACCTAATTAGGCGAGTACCTCGCCCGATCAGGGTATATAAAGCAGGTTTGATCATTAGGATCATACCTCAAGTCAATCTAGTTTATTATCACTCTACATACCTATTCCCAGATCAAAGTGACCATTAGATATAGCTATTACCTCCGTGATATCTTATTATTCTTATTATTCTTATTATTCTTATTGTTCTCATTATTCTTATTATTCTTATTATTCTTATTATTCTTATTATTCTTATTATTCTTATTATTCTTATTATTCTTATTATTCTTATTATTCTTATTATTCTTATTATTCTTATTATTCTTATTATTCTTATTATTCTTATTATTCTTATTATTCTTATTATTCTTATTATTCTTATTATTCTTATTATTCTTATTATTCTTATTATTCTTATTATTCTTATTATTCTTATTATTCTTATTATTCTTATTATTCTTATTATTCTTATTTATTTATTAAAATAATAAAAAATTTCATTTATAATTTTTTAAATATTCTTATTTAGATTATTTAGATTATTTAGATTATTTAGATTATTTTTGAATTCTATTATATACAATAATAAAAATTTTAATAAACTCAAAAAGTAATTTTCAATTTAAAAAGGTGATCTAAAACAGGGGTGACTAGAAAGTAGAGTACTCGACTTATAAAAAGTCTGTAAAATCCGACGTAAAAGTTTCTTTCGCTACGCTCCGAAACGCCTACAAAAGTTAAGAGCTCAAAACGAGCTCTTAACGGCAAAAAAAAAAAGTCAAAAAACTGCGGAACCCTTTGATCTCAGATTTAAACTGAGTATGGAATGAAAGAATGTTCATGAGAGAACCTTCTAATAGGAATCGAACCAATATCTCCGGAATCAAAATCCGACGTGCTAACCATTACACCATAGAAGGGATATCGCGGAATTCGATATTAACAAGTCTCTAGTTTAGTAATATAAAGGAATTAAAGAATCGTCCTCAACCCACATCAAGCACTAGCACTAGCTTTTGGAGGGGCTTCTGACACGTGGTAGTGGGGTACATGACATGTTATTAGATGGAGTGGAGAGCAGCTTTGAGTAATATCGTAGACACAATAGTCTATATCTAGGTAGTTAGTATGCTGCATTTTATATTGTAATAGAATCGATATTTTAGGCGACGACTAGCTTTGAGACCTCGCTTGACTGCCTGCACTTTTCGTATATGTCTCAATCCTTCCTTCGCCTTTAATTCTATTTATTGTAGACAATTTACTGTAATGTAGTAGGTATTCAAGTCTTCTCAAACATTGAAATAGTTTTGGACATTCAATTCATTACAAATTTCAAACTTGTGTTAAGCGTTTATGTATTTACACTATTTCAAGCATTCAAATCATTTCATACATTAGATAGTTCATTAAACTTCATTTACACAAATCGGTTTGAACGTTCAGGTGCCCTGCTACAGATTTTGTATTTGCAAACGTTTAATTACATTGCTTTCATATGAGCCTTTAAAGGTACTTCTCATGGCTACTTGTCTATTCGATTATTCATGTATCTTACTCCTGAACCTAGAGGTACCCCAATATTAATATAGCCTATCTAATCCCAATCCCAATCCAACCAGCCTTTTGAGTGTTGACCATATGCCCATTCCATTGATACCGCCTATTTTTATACTTTAAATCATATATCAAAGTCTACCCAAGTAAAGTCCAATACAAACTCCCCACCGACGTTACTCCCGCAAAAATCATCGCTTCCACCATAAAAGCCGGCGCAAGATACGAAGTAACCCATCTCGCAACTGCCGCTCCCACGAAGCCCATCCAGATAACTACTGCAGTAGTACTCCAGAGGTTATCCCACCCTGCAAATCTCGATTTCTTCTGTTCATTCGCACTTCTCATGCTCGTTCCCCATCCTCCCTCTAAGACCGTAACAACCGACCAGAACATGATTCCCGGTAGAGGCAGTTGATAGAATATCTGAGAAAGAACGAGATATTTAATGCTAGCCACATGTGATTTATTGCGCCAAAAATTGTAACATGTACATAAAGCCACACGGAGAAGGAAATCCCAGGATTGGAATGCATGGACGGTGTAACCTGTGAATACGTAACGAATAGTGAAGACACCAATGATCAATGGTCCGTAGAAACGACGCATAGCTGTCACAAAAAGGATGACACCGTGAATAGAGTAGATTTGCGGATATTGGAAACATTCGATATGAGTAGCGCGGGCCCAACGCATTTGTTGAAGGAGCCAGCGGAGAAGTGTGGTAGGGGTATCGGTAGAGGCGAGCGCGGAGGTGTTGAAGGTCACTTTCCAGTTTTGAAGGAGGAGATTGGTGGTTAGATGACGATCTTCGTTGACGACGGTTTTGACTCCAAGAGAAGTTTGCGTGTACCATGGTAAGAGAATAGACTCAAGAGCTATGAGACGAAAAGCGGCACATGGACCAGGTTGACAGTCTACAGCGTCTACGGCTCCGGTTTGTCCACGTGTAATAGCTAACCTGCAATGCGACATTATTAGATATGCAATCCTTTCAAATAATTAGATGAATGAGATACTTACTCAGACCAATAAGCTGCACTACCCAAAGCAGCAATGGCACTCTCCTGATCATTATGAATGCTCAGAGCCGAGCAACTACCTCCGATTAACGGATCAGCAGACATACAACCGACTGTTTGGTACAAAGTATCCGGATAAACGATGGTATCAGAATCGCTAGTCCACAAGTATTCAATATTATTCCCTTGTCCCAATGCCAAAGCGAAAACCATATTGGTAAACATGATATCTTTTTTGCATTTGTGAGGTTGGTAGAGACATATTGGGTGGAGGGATCTGGTCTTAGAATCGCGGGACGGTGATAGAGCATCATGTTCACGGAGGGTTGTGAGCGCTTTTTCGAACACAGTGCGGAAGGCATATGCGTGAGCCTCGGATAGAAGAGCCGGGGGGACATCTGTGGAGTCGAATGATGTAGGTGTGGACGCCCATTTTGTGGATGAGGACTTTTCGTCGTAGAGTTCGTGGGTGATGTAGTTTTGAGCAATGCGGACAGCGAGAAGACCATATGGTTCTTCAACGTGGATTTTTATGAGATCTGGAAATACCTTCAGAGGGACGTTTGTTAGTCTTTCAATGTTTTTAGATCACTGCTGAGCGTTCTTGGAGGTTGAAGGAGGGAATACACACTTCCTGTGCTACAGAAACCATCTCCATATCTCCATCATGATCCCCATCGATTCCAATGAGCATAATCTCTAGACCGGGGGAATTATGATAACTCTGTAAACATCTCCTCCACAGATTTGCCTCCTCACGATATCCCACTACAGAAGCAATACACTTCGCAGCCACATCATCTTTTGTCTGGACTCCCTTCTCTGCATCTTGTAAAGAAAGTTTCTGTTCTAATTGCTTGACTCTTTCAACATTTTTGCTGCGATTAATCTCCGCTAGGGAGATCTGCCATATACTTTCAAAGGTAATTGGGGCAAATGTGACATATCTTCTGAAATAACGGAAGATTAAAAAGAATGTGACGACGCAAAGGATGCCGTTGAAGATTTGCCTGTGCAAGGACGGTAATACAGGTACCACAGGCATGGCCCCTCTTTCACACTTGAAGAATAGAACCCGAAAGATATAGATAGCACAAACGAATGGGTGACCAAAAGAATGTACTGTATAAAATAGCTTTGAACAATGGAAAAGTGCCACTGGAGCACTTTCTACTGCAGCCCATGCAGCTAAGTCTTTATACTTACGATGATCATATTGGCTTGACCTTGTCTCTCCCTACTGAGCTAATCGGTCAAGTCGCGGGACTTTAGAGCTTAGTATTTTTAGGATGACGATCAAAATAAAACAATTTCTATCGTCTGTTCCGTATACGGGGAAGCAGATACTAGGTAATGAGTGTAGGCAGGAAGGCAACAAACCTTAGTGTGCTGCATCAAGATGGATTGGTAATTTCCGCCAGCCTCCCATGTCATTAAAACTCTTCGAGAACTTTTCAATTGCAAGGTAGCATTTGGTAGCCTTGCATATGGCCCATTATCATTGGGTTGATCATGCATGAAGCTTAAATAAAGTATTGAATGAACTTTAACAGAGTAAGAGTGGGTGGGGATGGGCTCAATTAGGTAAATCTTCAAATAAACCTTGACAATAACAAAAGCCCCTTTTGTTTGACATAAACCGGTGAGAATGCGTAGATCAGGGCTCCCCTGCCTCATGTGGACTTTTCTTCCCAAACTCTTGGCTCGTATGGACAACATCCTTGTATCGCATTTGTTGAAGCCCTCTACCATAATTCGTATCGCCCTTAATAAGCATTGAATGCATAAACTCCCACCGTTTCTCCGAAGATTGTTAAGTTTATCAGATCTATACAGATCTATACATATCCCTCGTCGTATATTTTCCTATGAGAATCATGCTAGATGTTGCGGCTGAAGAATAATGCTATTTTTTAGAGGTCCACGAGGTCTTGCATTGATTTTTGTCATATTGAGTTTTCTGACGATATATTATGGCTACTTGAGGCTTGATGTACATCCGAAGCTACACGATGGCGAGTTCGCTGTACCACCTCATGCGGAAGTTGTAGTAGAACCTGGACGGCTAGCAGACGGGAGGCCGACGAAGTCTGCGGAGAAGGCGGTGTATCCATCAATATCACCCCACCCTCAGCCCAGCGCTACACCCGACATTACCTCTACAGTGCCAAGTTCAGAGCTATCAGTGTCATCATCTGACATTCTGTTAATCATCAAGACTGGTGCAAGCACAGCGTGGCGTCGAATGCCTATGCAGCTGTTAACGACTTTATCGAGTTTGCCAAACAGTGTAATATATTCTGATCTCCAAGAGAATCTTTCTCATGAGATCCAGACAGTGGACGTTTTGCAAAACGTGAGCGATACTCTGCAGATACATGACACAATTGCGTACGACATATACCAAGATCTACATACCAACATTCATGCGTACAGAGAGCAAGCTCAGCTCCCGGGCGACGAACCTGAACTCCCACCCGGGGATAAGCCAGGCTGGAAACTAGACAGATACAAGTTTCTTCCCATGCTAGAGCATGCTCAGAGGAACTTCCCCGGTTTCAAATGGACTGTTTATATTGAAGACGACACTTTCGTCTTTTGGTCAAATCTTCTCCCATGGCTTGCAACACTCTCAGCTGACGATGAACCGTCATATTATGGCGCTTCCGCGGGAGAAAGCAATGCGACATTTGCGCAAGGAGGTTCAGGAATCGTATTCTCTAGGTCTTTAATGAAGTCTGTTTTCACTGGACCTAAAACCCCCACTCTAAAAGAGTATGCCAAATTCACCGCAAGTGAGTGTTGCGGTGACATGGTTCTTGGCAAAGTATTGCGCGATCATAATGTGCTTGTAAACAGAGGGAAATATGGCCCAGTGTCATTCAGACCCGAACCACCCTGGAAAACAGGATTTGACGAATTCTCATGGTGCAAACCAGTCTTCACGTTTCATCATTTGCACCAGAGGGATCTGGTTCAACTGGCATTATTGGAGCGCCAGCATAGTCATAATAACCATGTTTCGGTAAGTTGTCATCCCATGAGTATCATGGATACCCTAAATAATGTGTTAACGAAACATGCTAGCGACCAATCATATTTCGTGACATTTTCCTTAAAACAATATCACCTTACCTCAAAGACCGCCGTGATGATTGGGACAATTCCGCATCTCGCCACAAACTTACAGAGAATATCACCACGATCACCAATCCACCTTGGAGTCCACCTGCTCCCGTCGTAGAAGATAAAGATGCTCTTGAGCAGGCTTATACTTCACCTGAAGCGTGTCTGGCGGCGTGCGTCGCATTATCTACTTGCCGTATCTGGAAGCACGAAATCAATAACGAGAATGAGAAGAGCTGTAGTTTGGATGTAGTGGTAATGCTAGGAAGAGAAATTGAGGGACGGGCTTCATGGGATAAAAGGGTGATCAATAGTGGATGGATGATCCAGAGAATCAATGAGACGTTAATGGAGGATAAATGTGAGATTGTTGCGTCACCTTAGGGTTGGTGATTGTATTGATTGGGTTTGTACATTGAGAAATGATTGTTTCGAAACTAGAATGTAAATATGATTGGCATACGTACTAGCAATTTATCAGAGTTTGTCGTTTTGTCAAGGGGGGGAAAGTGCGATGGATGGATAGGCGAACTGGCTAAGGAAAAGGGTCAAACATAGCGTATAATGAGATGTCAAAAGAAATACTTGCGATAAGAAAAGTTTGAGATGATGTTCAATGTTTTCTAAAATTATCCATAATGAAGTAGGCTTTTAATCCCCACACATGGGCAAACGATCGAATTTTCTGATGGCTGAATAAAACATTTCACGTACTCGGACTGGGACTCCCAACTATATAGTTCATGTAAATAAATCTGCACTGGCACTGAAAGTTGCAGATCTAGGCTCTATAAATAGCTTATCTTGTATTATCAGATTGAATCATATTATTATATTTAAAATGTCGTTCGCCTATTCAAATGCATCAAAATCCAAAACGCCGAACCATGAGGTCTGGAACCTGTAAGTCTAAAAATCCAAAGCACTACATTCCTTCTTTTCAAGAACCTTCCCGATTCTATCCACCATCCACCCACTTTCCATATAAATACCCTCATTGACCTTTGCTCCTATCGCCGCAGTGTGATCAAGATGGCAATTATCATCTTGATACTTCCAGGTCAAACATTTATCCCAGTCTACACAAGCCTTTTTGCAATTTTCCTTCGATGCCCAGGGTCTTTCATTCTTCTGAGCTGCAGTTAGGGCCTTTAATTCGGGCGACCAGGAATCTTTCATCGATGAAAATGACTTGGCTGCTGCATAATTATCCCACTCTGAGCGTGCAGCAACTAGCTTTGGAGCAAAGAAGTATTTAAAAACATCGCGATAACGAATGCGTCCCTTTCCTTTCGTCTCTTGCATGAACTGGTTTTCAAAAACGAACAATTGGGAAATATCTGCTTGATGGACTTTATGAATATTCATGAGTGGTGAACACCAGTTCCAGTCACCAAAACCAATTCTCCATGTTGGAAGGGACTGCAAGGCAGCCCATCCACCTCCATCCAGTTCCTTGAATCGCTCCACGCCCATTTCTTTCATGGCATGTGAAAGTACTTGATCTCCGCAGCAATGCTCCTTCGCATACGACTCGTACTTGTCAGCCAAAGTCTTCTCTGCACCAAATGAAGTTGCCATAGCCTTTCCAGAGACAGCAAATCCGGATCCACCATGAGCAAAATCTTCGCCCATCTTAAAGGCTGGCGATCCAATCAAAAGAGGAGATGTGTGGTCTAAAGTCGCAAGCCATGCATAAAGTGTCTCCCAAAAGAAATAGTTATCGTCCTCCATATACACATACCATTTCTTGCCAGGGTGATGAATAGCAGCATGTTGAAACATGGGCAAGAACTTGTATTTGTCCAATCTCCAGCCACCCGGTAGGTACGAATCTCCCTCCATGCTGGCACTCTCTTGGTACAAGTTGTCATTGAGAGCTTCTTTGGCTTTGTTATAGAGTTCAAAGTCAGGTGATGCTTTAAGAGTTGCCGATACGTTTGCGAGAGAATCAATGACCGGATTCCCATTGATATTGTCCGCGATGTCAGAGTAATAGACGATGTTGGGAGTTAGCTGTTTGTTACCCAATGTGGTCGACATATGCATAGGCATCCTCCTCCAAATAGACGTAGCACCAGTCTTGACCAAAATGACGACATCTTTCGGATCAAGACCTGTGTTACTGTAGATCCTGCTTGGTTCTTCTGCTGCCGGCTTTATATAGCTATTATCGTCGCTGATTGGCGGGGATGCTAAAGAAGTTGTAGATGGTACATCCAGATTTCTAGAATAATCTTGTGATAATGGACCACCATCCGTCGCATCCCAACTTGCTGATCTGTTAACAAATATAACATTGTTTTCGCTCAATCCCATAACAATGAATACTGCGACAAGAAAGCTAATCCATAAGTATCCCTTGAGATGTCGAGGCAAAAAAGCCCCGTACTGTGAGGTTGACATCTTTGAAGACTGTTGAAGTAACTCAAGTATAGAATATAAAAGAACTTGAGAAACTCTTAAGCAGTCCGAAAGATGTACAGAATGAAACTTGAAAAATTCCAATCAGGGGAGGAGATCATTGGCATGGAAGTACGTATAATAAAGGCCAAATTTATATGAGATTTGCCCATGCTTGTAAGTTGTCATGCAAACCTCGTCTAACCGTCTGACAGTGCATGCTGTGCAAGGACAAGGGATCATGCGGGTTATATTGTTGTGTGGGGCTTAGATCAGGCTGTGATACGAATTCTCCTCATCACTTTGGTAGCCTTGCATACTCGGATCCCATTTTATTCTTTTCGAGAAGAGTTCCGAGACAATTGCAGAAAAGATTTCTCCGGCTTGAAATGATAAATAGCAAAATTGCTCGGCGTTAGGCAGTCACCAGGCATGGCAAGGCACTCGCGAGTCGTGGGACGAACATCTTTCAACGGTCTCCTTTTGCCTAGCCAATAGTACCATAACTTCACAAATCAGGAGTTCTCTATCATGTGATAAACGGGGTCAATGGGTCTTCTTTTGCGGTCCTGACTCTTGAATCTTATACAAAGACTAAAACACGATGATCTTCTACCGTTAGATTCTCTAGCCGATCGTATTTTATTGTCTGTGGATTTTTCCATTTCAAAATCTCTCAGGGTCCCAGGGAGTCGCGATTTAGTGATGTTATATTAATCCGAAGTATAATTCCATTTAAAGTTATCCATATTCGTATACACCCGTAGTGAGACCGCGGAGTTGAGACAAACATTGCCCAGATCTTTAAAACCCTACAGATTTGCTTCCAAAATATTCCATGCAAGGACTGCAAATGTTAATTGATGTGCGTTCCAGCATGTATCCAGCTGCAGGTACCTCCAATGATTCCCGATCGAAGGCTCGAATTGCAACATCTAATCGACAGCCTTACCAGTGAGACATGGTTAGCTTCAAGCATTTGTATTATTTTGACTTTTTAAATCTCCGGGTTGTCACCGGCAACGTTGTTAACTCTTTAGATATATTAAACTAAGACATTCGGGGTGTAAACTTCGTAGGGAATGCAATCAGAGTCTAAATTCAATGAAGATCCAATGCTTGATTCTTGATTCGCCTTACGAGAATGCCGACGACAACTGGGCCGACTATAGTGCAAATCACTACAGCCCAAACGATGACAAGGAAAACTGCTTCTCCGGAAACAATGGCAGTATTTTGTTGATTCTTCAACAACAGTGTACCAGAGCTTTGTGAGAGGGACGCAATCAAGAACCCGATTTCTCCTCTGGCAACCATGGCGAATCCCACTAGCAAGGCTTCTATATGTGGAACACGAGTAGACTCTGCTGTCGACGATTGAGTTTCTCTTGGCTTGCTCCAGGATTTTGCGAAGTACTCGAAATATATAACAAGGCTCACTAGGCATTTCGCAATTACCATGAGTATAGAGTACACAATGCCTTTCCAGACGATGGAGGCTTTAAACATGTCTGTAATTGGAATTGAGAAACCAATAGACGCCTAGATAGATCACATCAGTCCAGTTCCTTAAAATTAAGTATTGCTCGCAGTTTGTCCAATAGTCTGGGTTAGCAGGCTGAATGTGAATGTTTGAGGAGGGTTCAATCCGGAATTTCGGTTGATTGATTGTCCCGAATGAAATAAATATTTGGATGTGATTTATTATCCAGGAAGGTTCCACCATTCCATACGGATTGAGTATGCCAAATCGGTTCCGAAAGTAAACGTCTCATGTTGTCTACCAGCAGTCCTGACTCTGGATGGCAAGAGTAAGATATAAGTTTGAAAATACTTACAAAGAAAAAGGGAACCAATATGAAGTCCATAATTGGTTTGTAGTACTCTTCGTACATCATCTGAGCTGGGTTTGATCTCGGTTCCTCTTCAATACTACGGTTTCCGATATCCCATAGGTAATTAACTATGCCCCCGGCTATAAATGCGGCGAAAAGGACAGACGCATCGATGAAAGATGCAATAGTGACGAAAATGATCAGTATCAATGTTGAAAGAAGAAACCCAAGGCTAGGAATTCTCCAGAATTGCTTAAGGGCGGTTTCCTTGATATCAGATTTGTTTCCCGCGGAAACGTTAGTCACTGTCTCGGACTGAGAACACTTGACAAGGTAGAGCCAAACCGGCTGGAGTAAATAAGCGCCCAGACCAAGGGAAACCAGAAGTAAGCCAAAACTCGCGGCTATTGGTCTTGCGATTGGCCACCCACCCATGCCCCCACTCCCCAGGGTTGTAACAATGTTCACCATAACAAGGCCGACAACGTCGTCCATCATCGCAGCTCCTACGAGTATCACACCGACTCTCGTGTGCTGCATATTTGCAGAAGAGAGAATGGCGAATGTCGTTCCCAGAGAGGTCGAACATAATGATGCCCCAGCCGAGAAGGCTGCTAGAGGAGTAGGATACATTGTCCCAGAACTACTGGGAAATGGTAAAACAAGCAACAGGAAAGATAATGCAATAGGCACTAACAGACCAACGGTGGCTACCGATATCGAAATGTAGGCAGCTTTCCGAAGCTGTTTAAGATCTGTACTGAGTCCTCCTTCAAACACAAGACCTATCAGACCTAGGTAGCCCAATGCTTGAATGGTTTCTTGATATTCCTTTGTCAGCCATGCTGTTCCTCCGACTGGCAGGCCCCATATTATCCCTATGAGAATTTGTCCTATGATGCCGCAGTACAGCAGTCGGTCTAGGATGTATCGAGTGATGTTTAATAGAACGAGAAACGAAGTCAATGAAAGAATGACCTCAATCCCAGGCTCCTCGTATGGGAGGAACGGCATGATCGATACGTGGCGATTGCGGTATTCGATGTAACTAAAAAATGGTCATACTCTTGAGAGGAAAAATGGAAAGGTTCTCTTCTCTCAGAGGCACGACATGATTTTGGAGAGAAAAAAACAGTCCCAAGACTTCACCGAACAAAAATCAAGGCAACCAACCTTGGAAAGCTTGGAAGCCAGCCACACTTTCCCGCCACAGCAGCTACGCTCCAGCCACACTAACCTTACAAGCTGAAGTCCACGGAAAATTGAAGCGATAACGCTAAGATTAAATTTTTGAGTTGCGATAAGAAAATATATCTCTTCATCGCAAGTCTCAAAGCATCATTCCTCCATCAACCACCCACTCCAACAACCCCCACCACTCCCTCACATTTGCGTTCACGATCACATAACCTCAAAATGAACGCCCACGCTCTTCTCACCTCTCAGGGTTGGCGCGGAACCGGTCACTCTCTCCACCACAGCTCCGACACCATTGGACTCTCGCGACCATTGCTCGTTTCGAAAAAAGACAATCTTTTGGGAGTGGGGAAGAAAATGCACAAGACGGCTGATATGTGGTGGTTGAATGCTTTTGATGCTTCGCTAAAGGGATTGGATACGAGTAAGGAGGGGCAGGTTAAGGTTCAGGAGGGAGGGGGTTTGGAAATGGTGGTCAAGGGTGGAAGTAAATGGGTTGGAGGGAAGGGAGGGTTGTATAGCTTTTTTGTGAGGGGGGAGACGGTTGGGGGGACGATGGAGGACAAAGAGAAGGAGAAGAAGGCTATGGAGGTAATTGTCAAGGAAGAGAAAAGCGGAAAGGGAAAGGAGAAGAAGAGGAAGGGAGAAGAAAGAAAAGAAAGTAAGGAAGAAAGGAGGGCAAGGAAGGAGAAAAAGAGGGCCGAACGAGCGAGGAAATCCGCCGCTAAAGAAGCCAAAAAGATAAAGGGAGGAAAGGAGGCCAAAACACCAAGCGCCAGTTCGACAGACTCGGAGAAGACAGAAACCAAGGAGGAACGACGAGAACGAAAGGAGCAAAAGCGACAAAAGAAACTGTTACGACAATCAGAGAAGGAATCATCAGATACATCATCAACGTCAGAAAGCGCTAAGAAGAAGAAATCGCGGAAGAACAAATAGATTATTTTGCCCTGTATATTCTACAAGTCGGCACAGCAAAAGGCGTTTTGGGGCACGGAGTTTTGTGATCACGACAGTGACCCTGGCGTTCTAGATAATGTATGGTATGTTAATTAGATTTGTGGAATTCTAAACCTCGAACTATATCTCTTTGGGTATCTTTCCAGGCTTATTGGATAAAAGCCATGGTCTCCTCTGCCAAAATTCGTCTTTAATGACATCGACATGTTGCACCGTGATTCTTGCCTTTGCTCTTCTCTTCCTGTCCTTTTCCTCTTGTGTCTTTGAGAGTTCCTTCTCCTCGATTGTCTTTGCTGAATCTTCATCGATTGCTTCTGACACTCCCGGTTCCACTAACTCATACTATGATCAAGTCAATTTTTCGTCCAAGTAAACTATGGTAAAGCCTCTGACTTACGTCTCGGAAAACTACGCTCCCCTTTTTGTAGATTTCAGGCTCATTGTTATAATTGATTCCAAACCTCGAGAACAGAATCTCATTTTTATCCGCAGCCAAAGATCCCTAAAAAATTCAACTGACATTAAGCATGGAAACTAGTGATCCGAGAATTTTGAAACTCACAGCAAGTTCTTTCTCCGCACCTTTTGCATCAAACCCTCCTTTTTGGATCAATGTCCAAAAAGTGGTATTGTAAAGATTGTTGATGTGGCCTTCACTCATTAGTACCAGCCCAGGGGAAACAGAAGGAGGAAGTAAAATATGAAAGAATGCATACAATCGACTTGTCTCCAACTCATATAATCCCTCAAGTTCTGAACACTAGGGTATTGCACAGCTCTCCCATCAAAACTAGGTAACGGTGCCGTGAGTTGCATTCCCGGGTCGGGAAAGTAGGTAGACCAGAAATGGACATAGTACGCTGTGAAAGTTGATACTATTGTCGTGACCAGCTTACTATAATTTTTGATTAACATTTTGTTTTCAGGCAAGAAGTTCCTCACACAAAGGGTTGAGGGTAAAGAGTCATACCTTGAGCGTCTCTCAAAAAGCACACATGATTTATGGAAGACAAAACTATGATCGCCTCTTTAGCAAGAACTCTTCTCGAAAACCAAATATAAAATTAAAAACGAACCTATACTCATCGCTAATCCCATAGGCAATCACGATATCAGGCAATTCCATCATGACAGCCTTCGCAGCCGCATTCATCAAATCCAGCGCTCTCCGATCATTCGGTTTCTCAAAGGCATATTTGTCCGAAAATCTATGAATTTCAGTTTCCGCTTCATGATCGAGCAGGAGAGGAACCCGAGGAGCAGGAAAGGTAAACCATACTTATGAAATCCCCGACCATCAATACGCACTACGATCCATGTATTTGGGATGAGTAGATCAGGTTGCTCAAAGGCTTTGACATATTCATATCTAAGAGATTCGTGAGCTAGATCAATATTTTAAAGGGGAAGTGCCTAGCTATCTACTTACTTTGAATTAGCCATAGTTAATTTTTGAGGTTGATGTGAAAATGTTGTCGATATGGCATGGAGGTTGAAGAGCTGAAGGGATGTATATGTGCATTAAACATCCAAAGTTAGCCAAGCGAGGTCTCGGAATAGAAAGCAGCTGAGAACGGTCACTGGGTGCGTCATATTCACAGTACCACGGGCCCCTCTCTCTTCGGCTTATTCTACTACTTATTTATTCAAAGGGGAATTTTTTGGAAATCGAAAAAGCTATAAATTAAAGGTGCTATCTACCTACATTAACATCAATACTGAAAAACATGTATCGAAAATGCCTTGTAATTATTTAGGAAAATAAATTTAATAAATCTACTAGGTAGCTAAGCCCTAAAAATGAACTAGGTCATAGCTTATTCAGCCAATCTTTCGAAGAAAAATCCCCACCATTATCTTTGCCTCGTCAAGAAGATGCATCTCAGAGAAGCTCTACTCCTTCCTCGAGAGAGACATATAGCACGGCAGAATGGACACTCAATTATATTTCCCGATGTATTCTTATGAGATTTGTCTCATCAAAGTGAACGTTCGAGTATCTTTGAAATGTTAGATTGTCAAAAATTGATGCAGCAGGTAATCTGCTCATGATACAAAATATTGTATAAAAGTATTGATAATGATATCCCTGCGTGTAAATTTGACAGAAATAAACTAAAGAAATACAATTGCGTCACCTTGAGTGTTCTAGTATGGCCCCTCGTTACTGCATCCACTCGCTTTTTTTTTCCTAACATACACAATTTACGCGGTCCTTGCTGCAAAGGTTCCCATCCTCAATCAACCCAATGAGCCCTACCCCTATGATACTCTAATTTTCTCCTCTTATGCCCAGACCTCAGCCAACCCCCGTATTCCTTCCTCTCGTTATTAACCTTGCCAATTTCCTCTTGCTCAACCACCCTCCTCCTTGCCCGATCTAGCTCCTCGTGGACTTTTATACCAGCTCTCAAATCAACTTCGCGTTGTTTCTCATTTTTCCTTCTCTGAACCATCGCGTGCTGCTCAGCAATCCTTCTCCGCACCCTATTCCTCTCTCTCTCTGTCCTCTGCACCATGAGTCCTCCTGAATATTCAAATAAAAAGTCTCTATCCTCCGCGTCTTCAATCATCCAGTTCATCTTTACCAATTCAAGGGGTTTGAATTCTCGCTGCAATTGCAATTCTGGGGCCCAAGATGGCAATTCCCTATACATGAATTTCTTCCTCTGGTCGTTGAGCTTCTGTACCCTGAGATATACTTCCACAGCACTCGGTCGATCAAATCGGTTAAGTGTCATCGCCCATCTAATCTCGGTTTCTAACTGTAAAGTCAAATGCTCGTTAATAGGCTCAAACCTCGATTCGTTATTTCGCGCAGCAAGTAGGAGTTCTTTTTGTTCTGGGTTCGCGCGATGAAACTTAATGACCTTTCCAGATGAGTCTACCAGGGAGCACCCTCTGTTTGCATAACGTCCCCTCCTAGCCACCATATATATCATGGAGCCTACGGACCACACATCATACTTTGCACTCATCTTATTGTCTGGTGGATCACAAGTACTATTTCCGAAATTATAATCGCGAGTACCATGTCTAGGTAGATGTAGGGACTCGCCAAAATCTCCCAATTTGACAGTCGGATATGTATTCGGGGGAGAATTTGCAGGGAGTGATTGTATGAAGACATTGTTTGCTTTAATATCGCGAGCGACAGTCATTTCTAAACGTCCCGCAAATTCTGGTTTTGTTATGTAATCGGGATGCTCCCCATGAAGAAATGCAAGGCCGCTGAATAGTTGTTCGAAAGCGTGCCACTGAGGGTTGAGATTAGTTATATTTCTGCTCGACAAAGATAGGATGGTGTTAAACTCACGATAAATCCTTCGGGTATGAATTCGTCCCTCTCTCGAAATTCGTGTACCATGTCTAAAAGAGTGCCGAGATCGCAAATCTCTAGGACAATCAAAGAAAAGGGGTTTCCCAAGATGTCGAATTCAGCCCAACCAGCCATATTCGTGACATTAGGGTGCCCTGATTTGATATATTGAAGGAATGTCGTTATCTCCCTTCCACGTTTGGAGGATAAACTCAATTCCTTCATTTCCTTCGGATCAACAACTGAAGCTTCACTGGTGCGTGTAAGAATGGGACTGGTATCTGAGCCCATATCGTAGTCAAGGTTAGCCTCCGACTCTAATCGAAGTTTGGAAATTTTGATAGCATATTTAATCCCGGGCTTTCCCTCACTACGGGTATCTTTGTTCTCGGCGCGGAAGACAAGTCCAAATGATCCACTGGCAATACACGCGTCAATTTCTATATTATCCCCTGTCAAGTTGTGTGGATTGTCTTTAAACCATTTATTTTGACGGATTGTGTTAGCACGAAATGCGCCTGCGGACGATAAAATTTGATTAGCGTTCGTACTCTTTCTCTTTGCAAAATAAAGGGATCAAGTGAAGTTGAAGGACTTTTTGAAGAGATTAATACTTACGCAACACCCTAACTGCCATGGAGTCTGATTGTCCTGTTAAAGTACTTATGCCTACATCTTGCCAACCCCCCTCGGTAGAGCTGTCTGTGTCTTCGTCCACATCCACATTCAAGTCTATAATTACAGCCCCCCCACCTGGCACATTCTCTTCCTGTGGTACGGCAGCCATCTTTATTTTGATTTCCAAAAGATTCGAGATGTTGTTGTTCGGGAAAAAGTAGTTTTCAAAGCCTCGTTGAATGGAACGAAATATCCTACCATGATATGTGGAGAGAAGAAGGAACAAAGCCATGCTTTGAAGTCATCTGCTTCCGGCACTTTGTTGAGGCATTGAAAGAACCAAAGGAAGCAAATAATTACAAAGGCAAGACAAAGAAATCATTATTTTGATGAAGGGGTGAAGCGAGCCTGGAAACCTGTGTTGCAAAAAGCATTTAAATCTAGCTATATAATATAACTAATCATTGGACTTTACATTGAGATATGAAATGATAACAACAGTCAAGCTGAAATGAAGAAGCATACTTACTAGACATCGAAGCCAAGTTGACAGTGAAAAGACAGAGGGAAACCTCTCAATGAGAAAGCTATTATGAGGATGAGCCTGGTTACTAGACCGAGATTTCCCTTGACAATGAAACTACATGATGCAAAAGAGGTATGACTAGCATAAAGAACCCCTTATTACATAAATCATTCTTTCTTGGCATTTCATTCTCTTTAAACAATAAGCCACCACCTCAATCTAAAGTTTAAAATACCACTCAAATTTCAACTATCACATTGGTGTTCCTGGTAAATTACAGCCACTTCTTCTTTCCCTGCTTGTAGCTGCGTTCTTTTGCCGGCAAAATCTATGCACATCCTTGCTCATTCTTCTCTTTCACTGATCAACCCCCTAGCCATATCAGTGACGCAGTCTTTACCAAGAAGATCGTACAATTTGAGCCAACAGTAATAGGTCTTCGAAAAATACGTCAAACAGCAAGAAAATCAGACGTTTGCTAGTTCAACGACCATTGATCATCCACAAAGTTAAAGAAATCTCAAAATGCACAGGATATTAAAGTAACCATGCATCATAAATCTTTGTTGTGGTCTAAAACAATCCAAGTCCATATCACCTGTGGAGCTCCGACAGCTAGTCTTCTAATAAATCTCGATGTTTTGAGAATAAAGTTATTTTGTAGTGCAGTTCTGTTTGTCACTTGACATGAATCGATCCACGGTATGACATCAATATGCATACACAATTCTAATATCCACATTTGAGAACTGCAGGACGTACTGATTCTATAAAGTTATAAAAGTGCATCTACTGTAGATGAACGGCTCGCTTCCTTCCCCTTCTATTAACTGCCAACCATAAGTTCAATCGCAACCAGATTTATCCTTATTATTTCCACACTGATGTCTTGAGATCACTTGCTTGCCTTGGATTTTCGCTTTTGTCTTCTTTATTAATTGCTCGGGGTGCCGTGAACTTCGAACGCTTCTTATAGACGGCTGGTGTTATTGCTGATGTTTGCAACGCCCCTGGCGTTTTTGAGGATCATGGTAAGTTTTTGATTGGAGAAGCGGAGGAGCTGGATGATATCTACACTGCTGCTGATCCCCCTTGATATTGCTGTCCCATATTACCTTCAGGTAGTACAATATCAGTATAGCCCTGTGGGTTTCCCTGCAGCACCAGTTGACTCCCCACCTATCACTTGGGTAGAGTATCAGGGCCATGATAGAAAGTGCGAAGTCCTTCCTCTCCATCTGGACCCTTCCTGAAACAGTACCAGAAGGCCCAAGGGCGAGGAGAACTAAAAGCTAACCAAATTATTTGACTCAAAGGGGCAACCTGGTGCATATTGTCATATTATTTTCGAGAGAATTCTGATGCGTTAGCCCACCCCGGGTCGAAACATCTAGTTTCCTATCCATTATCTTTTCCGCACATCAAATGGAACAACTGCAAGCTTCACTTTAAATTTTTACTGAAGCTCCAAGAAAGAAACAAGGACTCGGAAATGAGTCGAAGAAACGAAGAATGAAGGAAGAAAAAGAAAGGCGAGAGAGGAATCGGGCGGTTTCTTGCCCACCGAAATTTGCATCTACTGAAGAAGAGCAACCGATATGAATAATATTGATGAAATTTTAGTTGCTGATCAAGCAGGCGAAAGTAATCATTGCCAAAATATGTTGACCAAAATACTAGGGTCCACCCAAACCCAAATAACAACTTGATAAACTGAATTCACTGAGCTTCCAGAAAGAATTTAAGTCTCCCAGCACAACTCTGTTAGGACAAGAGATTAGAGATTTCCCCTTCCACGAGGTCGCTCTTCTTCACAATAGATACAGAAACTTCTGGTTCCAGTACAAATATTGGATACGGATGTGACCTACCCGACGCATCTGTTGTGCGTAAATCATGTTTGATGTTTGAGCTGTCTGGACGGATATATGAACAGACATAGGATCTGTCGTCCAAAGCACCTGAGAACATAATTCTCATGGGCAAGGGCTCTTTCACGCTCATGCAATAGACAGAAGAATATTAAAGAAGAATAGCGAGAGGGAAATATATAAACGCAGAAACAAATTCAGACAGTCGAGAACAAACTGAATTTGTCTATGAGCCCTCAAACAGGGAAGAGTTAAAATGAGAAATATGAGACAAATACGAGACAAGTCTTTTCATTTGATCTCACAAACGACTTTTAAACTTTGTATCAACGTGAATTTCTTTTTCAAGACTGACGATCCAAGCTTAATTTAATCTATCTCCGTAGGATTGAAATAAAGAAAACCATGAATTGCGTTGCACATTTCCTTGTCGAGATTGCCAAGATGCCGCATTGGATCCTACTACTCTGTCAGTACTTGTGCCGGCATGTAACCGATCAAATTCTGCTTACCAGGAGTGACACCTTTACCAAATCCAAATACTTTCAATAGAGCACGAATAGGCCAGAAGGGCCCGAATGCCACGGCTAGTGTTGCCCAGGCTCCAAAAACACTGGCATATGGATGCTTGCGAACGATAGGCCCCAAGGTGGCTAACACTGTTGTTGCAGAATGCCTAGGATGCTCAAGAGCATTGATACCCGCTTTCTTTGCGGTGTTTAAATGTCTTGGAGCATCCTGATATAATTGTCCTGCCACACCCTTCGCGGTGTTTAGATGCCTGGGAGCATCTTGATACAACTGCTCTGCCGCTATTCTGGATCTTTCCATGAGAACTGGGGTTTTCTCCAAAGCGGAGTTAAGAGCAGGTTGAACCTTAGCAACAGCAATCACGGCAGCATCTTTCCCTCTTTCATATGCTCCTGGAGCATTCTCGAGGACATATTGAACTGCTCTTTGGGCGTCTGCCACAGCCTTTGCATAGATGGTTGATATGTTGTCAGACATTGCTGTTGTATGATGATGATGATGGGAAACTCGAGGTGATGTTAGGATTTCAAGTACATAAAGTCAGACCACAAGGCACACACAACATTGAAAGGTGACATGGCATACTGCGGGGTACCACGGCCACTGTTGACGAGTCAAATCTCTTAATATATTTTGTATGCAGTGAAACACCACGTGGCTTGATTTTGACCACTCAGTCAATGTTTCAAATGATCTGAAGGGTGTTGTTGGTGTTGTCCAATGGTGGTGATAGATAGATATGTAAGGTACAGAAATGTAAAAGACAAAAGAGAACTTGAGTTGAGATCTTGAGTCGAGCATGGACATGGACCCAGTTTACTAATAAATTTAAGTGGATTGCGGACAGCCAATCATAGCTCCGATAGCCCCTGACTATATTTCCCCAAATTTACAAGGTGCAGGTGCCAAACGTTTGTTAGCCCTTCCCTTCTCCACCCTTCCCTTCTCTAATCTCGAATCTTTTATAAGCCAATTTGTCTCGATACATCCCACTTTCTACTCCATAATTCTATCTCTTTGGACATATCACCCATTCCAATAATATCATAATGCGCATCTAGTCTCTCCTTAAAGATCGATAGATACAATATTCCATAATGGCAACCACGATCCACGAGACTCCAGAATGGGAGACTCCAACACCCAAGCAATCCATGCTCAGCAAATATAATATCTTTTCCAAACAGGAATCAACTCTTCCCACCACGAAAGAGGGATCTTCGGATTCATCGGGAAATGCTGTTGCGACAGGATCTTTTGGAAAACCTACATTGGTTGAGCGATTCAACAATGTATTGCCTGCGAATCGCACATATTTTGGACGGAGTCGCAAGGTGCTTTTGTTGATTGTAGGAGCAATTGTATTATTACTTATATTGATCCTGGGACTGAGTCTTGGTCTTGGCTTGAAGCATTCATCGTACGTGTATTTAGCAATTCATTATATATCAATTGCTCATCATTTTTTTTTAAATTGTGCATGAATCCTTCTTCATAACAAATTACTCCTTCCAACGCTGCTATTCAATTGGTCGGAATCACGTACTAATCTATCAATGAAGGCCGAAAGCATTACCTCTTCCATCAAATGGCGGTATATTCACAGGAGATCTTACATATTATGCACCCGGTCTCGGCGCATGTGGAATTACATCCTCATCATCTGAATCCATCTGCGCCGTGTCCCACATCATCTTTGATGCCGCTTCAACAAGTTCGAACCCCAATGCCAATCCTCTCTGTGGGAAAAAGATCAGAATCACTCGACAGAAGGAATCGGGAAGCGGAAACAACACTATTGACGTAACGGTTGTCGATAGATGTGTTGGATGTAAAGCCGAGGATTTAGACTTAAGCATAACGGGGTTCGAAAAGTTGGCATTGGAAGCAGAGGGCAGAGTTACTGGAAGTTGGGCTTGGTTATAGTGAGCTACGACGCGGGACATATTTGGAGCGACGTCATTTGATGTTAGGATACCCCAGATTTTCTTCTTGTTCTTTTTAGCGGAGGTCTAGTATACGATTCATGATGGATATGGTGGGCTTCATCTGGCTGCGGAGATACCCTTGGTTTCGGTATAACTTGAATCACAATGTAGTGATGAGATATTCTAGTGGATACATAATAATATGATTGGCCAAATCTAAAGCTGTCAACGAGTTTTGTCTCATCAGCATTTTCAGATTTCCCTCGTCTTTTTAGATACAGTGAGAATAATGCGGTGACACATCTGAAAGGTCCTATGCACTGCTGATAGGTACAAATCATATCACAGATCTATCAATATTATGAAGGTAAAGCAATAGTTTTGCAGTTCCTGATCTGAAGCGCATCCAGTTGGATGTCAATATTGTTCCATTCGTAAGAGATGATGAGATGACGGAGAGCGAGCAGAGGAGACACTAAAACTTGTAATCGGAAACGAAGAGGGTGTGAAAATAAGGGCATTGATTAGCATGGGTTTTCAGGGGGAGAGCTTCATCAAGGAGACTTTCTAAGATGCAGCTTCTATAATTCCACTTCCAATATTACTATGATACAGAAGTAAGGATAGATGGAGGGTATCAAAGGCTCAGTAATGTGGGTAGAACTTGAGAAGTTATCAAAAGGTTGCGGGCATAGATAATAAGAGAGTATACAGAAGCATACTTCATTACTTTTCCAGCTGTGAGTTCCGGCTTGAGTTCATGAATAAAACTTGCTTCTCTCCAACACAAAACCACCATATTCTTCTCGTTTCAATGAACCTAATACTCTCCCCTCAACTTATCACGATAAAACTCCTCTCAGCCCTTCAAATCGATTCAACATCTCACAAAATACTCGAGCCAAGTACCATAATCACGTGATACCCACTCCACGCATCCAAAGTGGATTTCAACGATTTAGCTTCTCATCTCACCGTCCAGGCCAAACAAACCTTGCAAAAATGGAGCTTTCCCGAGCCCAGCCCCCGCAGTTGAAACAGTCCTGCGGGCCGATGCAAGCGCTACAACGTACACGAGTCCTCGAATCGTTCGGCAGATGAAATATAAAAGCTTGGCATCGCTCCGAGATGTGAATGCTTCTGTGCACCTTCACTCTTTTTTCGCTTAAGGATTCTATTTACTCGAATTATACGCACTCCTGTTTGTCTGGAGTTGTTGTGTTGGCTTTTGGATGCTTGAGGATTCGTGTAATTAAAATTGGATTTATTTTGGACACCGCTGGTTTGTATGTATCGTCTGTTTCTTCTTGCAATTGACAGTAATTTTCTAATGTCATATAGGTATTATCTTGAAGCAATTGGAGATAGCTTTTGAATACATCACCACACACATTCCTATATTCAAAATATTCATCTAAAACCCATCATCATGGCTTGGATCTCAAGAGGCCAATCCAGTTTCGTCCAAGACACCCCCAACGGCCACACATCCGCCGTCCCAGCCATCGCCACCCACCGCGGCTCACTCTGGTGTCTCTGGAGCGACCCATCCGGCAATCTCTACTATGCCACCGGCGACAACGACACCTTCCAGACGCGTCTCCGTTTTCCCGATCAAGGAATCCCAGTCATGGCCGAGCTCCTCGGCCGTCTGCATGCCGTCATCGTCAGAGCCGATGGAGAAATCGCTCATTACGAATATGACGACGTGGAGAAATCCTGGGCTTCTCCTGCTCTTCTAGATAAGCAAATGGGACTCTGGACGAATACTACACCGGCGCTGATCAGCCATCATAATAATTTGATGCTGGTGTATATCCAGAATTCCTACTTGTATTACTCAACATGGACGATAGGTTCTGAAGACCAGCCAGAATGGAAGTATCCCCAGGAAGTAAGCGGGATTAGCAAAGTATCTGGGATCCCCGCGGTGTTTGTGTTGAATGGGGATTTGCACGCGCTTTGTTCTTCGGCGGAGGAGGATCGTGTGATTCTCGGTTTCAAATATTCGTTGCCGGAGGATGTGTGGAATGGTTGTGATGATGTGAGTGAGGGAAAAGCAGCACAGGGTGTCTCGGCCACTTCCTATGGTGATAGTGCGTTTTTGGCTTTTCAGGAAAATGGCCCCGGAGATACCTCGCATGTGATTTACATGAGCGAGTTTAAAGATGGGATGTGGCATCCGCAAGAAGCGATCGCGGGACAGACTTCGTTTGATCCTCCGCAGTTGGCGGTGCTGAACGGAAGGGTGAATTGTATATTCAATTCGAATGATGAGAGTAGAGAGCTATTGTGGTATTCCCGATCTTTGCTCGATTACTCGCTCAGCTCTTGGATGGCCGAAATCCCAGATGATACTTTGTTATCAGATATGACTATCCCAGGAACCCACGATAGTAAGATTTTCCTCCTCTCTCTTATCAATAAATACCCATCCTAACAAGCCCCGTCCCCCCTCCAGGCTGCGCAGAATCCAACATCCCCTTCGTGCGCACGCAATACCTCTCCATCGCCTCCCAACTCACAGCCGGCATCCGCTTTCTCGATCTCCGCGTGCGCGTCCACACCGAAGATGGTCAGCTCTACATGTACCACGGCGGGATCCCCATCAACCTACCTTTCTATCTCAAATTCGATTTCGTCATGCAGGAAGTCTTTGATTTCCTCTCTCAACACAGTCAAGAAACCGTATTAATCTCCATCAAAAACGACGACACATCCAACAAAGAACCTCCCAACGTATTCTACAGCGCAGTCGCAAAACACATCACATCCATCCCGCCCTACCCCTCTGGCAAACCTCGCTGGCTCACGACAAACAAACCCGAGACCCTCGGCGACGCGCGGGGAAAAGCAGTATTGCTGCGACGCTACGACTGCGCTCCCCATCTCTCCGCCGAAGAAAAAATGGGCTTAGATCTCAGCGGCTGGCTAGAGAACAATCCCGATTTCACGCTCCGAACAGAAAGTAACGTGACGATTCATCTACAAGATAAGTGGGAATACTCTGATATTATTCCGCTCAAAGGTTTGGTCGACAGTAAATACGAATACGTGGTGCGGATGTTGGAGAAGGCGAGAGAGGGAGCGAGGGATGAGTGGTTTGTGAATTTTATGTCTGCGGTGGGGGATCCGGTGCGGAAGGGTGAGGTGGCGGAGAGTCATGTATGTTTCTTTTTTTTTTCTTCAACTTCTCGAATTGTTTTCCTCTCCTGCCACGAGAAATCACTAATTAACCCTCAATCTTCCAGTGGATAGCAGTAGGCGCGCATAGTAAACTCATCGGTGCATTTGTTCCAGGCATGAATCCAAATCTCCGCCTCAATTTCAATTGGGGAATCAAGAAACGATATGGGATTATTCCCATGGATTATCCAGAGTTGCCCAAAGATTCGGATTTGGTAGCTTTGATGATTGGGTCTAATCTGTAGAGGGTAGATTGAGAAATGATATAGATAGATTTGGATGTTCGGGTGGATCTCGAAAGAGGTGGAAAGATCTGAAAGGATAGATGGGTGAATAGATTATTGGAAATAGAGAATGATCAATAGAAGTTCCAGAATGTACCTAGACATCGTTAAGTTTGTCAAATCATCCAAAGTAAATCTAGATTAACGCTTGTCATCTAGTTTTGACCCAATAAATTATTTTGTCAGTGATAGCACCTATACATAATACCGAATACCAACCATTTCACAACGTGTTAACGTATTAGAAACCACTTCACCACTTTAGAACAAACACATAATCATACGCTATCACCAAACTTACTTAGCATCATCAAACACATCACATAAATCACCATCACAACTCTAAAGCACCTCTGCCCAGTTCCTCGATAACAATTATCATTATCCTCGCTGTTATTATCGGTAAGAGCCATCCGTTCCCAAACTTTCATCCATCCAGTATTTATGAAAAGGGTATGTATGGTATACAAAAGCGCGCCATGAGTATTCCACGCCTTTCTTTTCCCCGGAATCCACGAATTTCCTTTCGTAAAAATCATTCATGCGCCCGAAAATTCATCCTAGTCCCAACCGCAAAAAGAGAGTAAAGAAAGTAAAGAAAGTATAACCCTTATCCCTAACCGAGGAACCATCAAGAAATTAACGTCCCTTTGAAACGCTTGCCGATCTTCCGAGAACAGGTTTGTGCGAAAGACCAAACCATTTTCTTCCATGGCCCGTTGCAGCACCATCGTTGTTGTCTTTATCTTTGGTTGCGTCATTTTTCTTGTTGCTCTCTTCGGCCATATCCACGTGGCAATTCTCACGTTTTTCTTTACCGATGCCAGATTTAACACCCTTACTCTCATCGCCCGCACCTGAGATAACCTCTCTCGATACTTCATCCCCATCATTCGCACCATCTTCTCCGAATTCTCCCCTCTCCCTCACAACTGCACAAGCACTCCTCGGTCTACCCAAAAGCTCTCGTTGAACTTGCGCTGAATGGGTTCTATTCCTCGGAATAGGTGGCGGAGTAGCACTTCTATCTTTCTCAATCTCGACTTCATCTTCCTCATGATAAGTACTTTTCCCAACTCTGTTGCCAGTCTCCTCACTACCATCCAGTTGATAATCACCCAATGCTGATCGACTACTATATCTATATCCGTGTCTCGAAGCAGGCATAGTCTGATATTTCGTCCTACGGTCTAGATTAGAGTTCGAACTAGAACTCGATCTTGAAGTCGATTGTGAAGTATTGACTACTGGCGCAGTATCTGATCTGCCAAAGAATAGTCTTGTAGGAAGTAGTCGCCTGAAATCCTTTTCTTTGCCGCCTTCTTTCTCCTCAGAACTTTCTCTAGAAGGTGTATTTGGAATACTCATAGACACAGGAGCAAGTGGCATCTTAGGGTTGGAATCATGACTGTTGGAATCATGACTGGTGCTGATAGAAGATGGGGCGTGCTTCCTCAACTTGGACGTCGCAGCTGCGAGTGAAGATCTTCGATCCGGAGCAGGTGGTTTGGGTGTCTTTTCATCTAAAGGTGTAGAAGATCTTTCCAGTTCCCTAGCGCGTCTCTCCCGATGCTCCTCAATTCTAGAGTGTGACCTGCGATCCGAATGACCGGTTGTAACAGTAGCATCGCTCCTAGGATGAGACTCGGCTTGCGATACCGTTCGTAGCATTTCGTAGCGTTGCGCCATAGCATTTGCATCACGAGAACTAGAATTCGCACCAGTTGGAACACGTGTTGCAGGATGATCATTATATATACCATCACCACCCCAAGCTCTCATGGTATCGCGTTCGCGAGACGTGGTGTTGAATGAAAAGAATTCCGGCGTGTGATTTCCTCCCCGAGGTTGGCGAGTTGGAGGATGCATCTTGGAACTTTCAGCGACACTATCGGTACTATAATTGGTGAAAGTATCTATATCATCTGTCTCCAGTGTTTCTGTATCCCAGCCATGACCTTCGCGCCGACTTGTTACAGTTTCTCCAGCACTACGTGGTCGCATAGATGTAGTCGATTGGTATGGATTGTAAGTAACAGGAGGTACCGAGAATGTTGATGTACTGTGAAGAAATGTCACCTCATCTTCATTTACTTGATGTCTTTGATTCAGAGTTTCGTCGGACTCCTTGTGACTTCTCAAAGTACCGGTACTAATAGTATCTGGTGTGGGTGGTAGCTTCTGGGTTGCCTCATAATTATTCCCATCAGTAGTGAGCTGACTACTATCCTCATGGAATTGTTGCCTTTCGTGGATACTGTCTCGTTTGTCAGATCGAATTTTGAGTCGCATACTTGTGCTACTGTTGTATTGCTTCTCCAGATTACTCCTAAGTTTTTCAAGACGTTGTAAAGGAGAGGCAGCAACATAGTTCATTGACAAAAATCGACTTCTTTGACCACCGGTTTGAGATGAAGGCGAGGGTACTCTCATAGGCATAGTTGAAGCTGGACGTTCGTCAATCCACTTTTCCACTGAAGAGCTCGTTCGACGATGTTGTTTTGGAGACGGAGAGTCGTAATCTTCTCCATTCACTGCAAGCGGTGACTTCTCTCCGTAGATACTCAAGAATGAACTCTCACTCAGAACACTTAAAGAAGGACTGGCCATTCCACTTTCACTGCCTTCCTCTGGCAACTTTGGAAGAGCAATATCGCTAATACTATTACTGCTAGGAAGATATAAGCTCCTCAAGGCTTCTACCCCTTCGCTCCTCTCAGATAAAAAAGAAGGCATCCTGGCAATTCCTACCGTAGTATCCCCGGCTCTAGGAGTCCTTGAAGTGTCTCTGTCAAATATCGGGGGCGAGCTTGGCATTTCATCCGCGCTGTTATGATCGTAGAAGTCATTTCCGTATTGAATCTCGTAATTTCTTACGTCTTCTCGCTCCTGTAGTAACCTCTCAACTTTGGCTTCCAGTTCGCAAATGAGACCAACAGCTTCTTCAACTGCCTGGTCTCGTTTCTCCAGCTCCTTGAGTAGTGCGTCGTTGATTTCTTGCACCTCTGACTGCTGTTTGATCTGGTTCTTCAACTGTTCCGCTTCCGATTCCAGTATTTCTTGCCTTTGTCGCCGATGAAAAAGCTCCAATTTGAGATCGAAATTCTGTTTGTGTAAGGTTGAGACTGTCTGTAACGAAGTTAACAAAATTAGCATTCATGTATCCAAAGCAGAATGACAATTGAATATAAGGCCATTCTTACCTCTTCCATTTGCTTAACCCCCATCGCCTTCTTCCCCAGCGGCTGACCCACTCCACTCGAACTCGGTCTCCTCTCTTCCCTCTCCCGCATAACCCCACTCCCACCATTGCTCCTATGAATCGGCGAACTTTGAACTTCCCTGGCCATAATGCCACTCCCACTAAAGTCCCCACTCAATCTTCTATCCCTACCCTTCCTCTCCCTCAACCTTTCTTGCAAGAAAGCCGCACCACCCGATTGCGCACTCGCTCTCCCTGACCCCAAAGGCAAATGCGCACTCGAACTATTCGTACTCTGCGACGAGACAGTAGACGTTACCATATTTGTTCTCGTATTGCTACTTGAACAATTGGCCGCGGAATCATGGTAAAGTGGCATGCGAGTTGTAGTTGAAGATATGCGACTTCTTCGAGATCCTTGACTGCCATCTTCCATGATTGGAAGATGGTTACTTTTGTTGTGATGCTATTTTCAGCCGCAGTGTTTTTGTTTTGTTTTTCTTGAAAAGCGATTGCTATATAGACTTTTGTCTTTGATTCACCGTTTCTGATTGACTGAACGGGCGGGGTTAATGCCGTATTCGTTGTAGATCAAAGTAAGGAAGGCCGTACTAAAGCTGCAAATTTAGAAAGACGGGATGAGTAGATAAGTCAAAAATGAAATCTCAACTTCAGACGACCCCAAAAAGTGAGTGTGTGGTATGATACTGTATCATTTGTGCACTGTGGTTGTACTGAGTGTATTCTCGTTTGTTACCATCCAGGACGATGGATCTTCCTCACATCAATATCTGCTGGGTATAGGAAGATCTATGCATATGCAGCTGCAAGGCACCGTGAAGCTGCGGGTTCTGATCAAAAGAATTGTGACTTCAAAACCAGGTAATGTTGATGTATATTAAGCCACCCCAAAAATGATTGACAATGGTGGAAGTTTGAGTGTACCTGGTGGAGATTCGTTTTGTTGTTGCATTTGTTTGATGGAATGCAATGAATACTTGGGTACCTACAAAGCGTTTCCAGGTCGATGACTTTCTATTATATAAGACCTCCCTCGCCCAACTCACATTATTTTGAGTTCACAGTGAATATAGAAAAGGGGAAAGAAGAACGGAGAAAGGAGAGAAGTAAAGAGACAGAAATCCTAGCTTGCATGAATAACTTATTAATCTATAGAAGTAAGTTTCTAAAATGACATATGGCTAGACGGTTCACCAACAAACGGACGTTGTGTCTTTCTATCTTATCTTTTTTTCCCTTTTTCATACTATACCGAGCCGTCCTACCTTCTCTCGTCCGAGGTCAATGTGTTCCAAGAAACTATCTGCACCTATCAAATATCAGATTTCACATTTCCCAGTTCTTCTTTTTCCTTCTAGTTTTCACCCTGCATTGAACACATGCAACCCATCCCCCCCTTTTTTCCACTACACAACATAGAAAATCTTCTCTCCCGCTACAACTTCATAGTCCACGTTGTAATCCGTCTAGTCTCTGGTGAATGTACCCGCTGGAGACCCGCTGTCCCAATTACCATTCTTACGTACGCGACACCTCAGGAATAGCATGATACGCATATCAAAGGATCTGTGCATACGTTAAGCGCAGTTAGTTTCGAACTCTAATCGGCGACCACGGATCAACCCGCAGCTTGTACCTTTCTTACCTGGGCTTGGTATTTCATTGGTCAAGTTTTGCATTCAAATGTTATGTCTCGGGTGGCGACATAGTGGAGCCAATTAGATGAATTTATTAACTATAAAAGGTTGTTTGGGATCAGAAAATACATCAATGAGAAGCATTTCCTCAGGCTCCCAAAACTGCTCAATTGAAATTTCATTTACATAACGCTATTTTCCGAATGGCGGGATTCATATGTGGCGCTATTCCCAGTTACCTGACCACTAATCCATGCTTCCGTGACCATCTATCTCAATTCGTACCAGGAAATTGCATTCGAAAGGCCGGAGAATGGAAGCGAGAAGAACAAGCTCTCACTGTCCGCTGCGGAAGGTGTATCTCTTGTATAGTCTGGCAACTTATTCCAAGTTTGCGTACTTTGAGCAGGATTTGATCGTCCGCAGGGGTCCATAGGAGCCGGCTGAGTTTCATCGCGATCCCTGAATATGCTGGCTGTCTATGAGGGTCTGTTGGATTTCCGCACTGTGAACGTCCAACGACTACAGGGGCATTCTGGAGCTGGTCACAACGCTTCCAACGTCCTAAGAAACCCATTCCTAATTCATCAACCTCATGTTCGCGATATTTTCGTGTGCCTGGGTCTACTCGTAACGCTTTTGAGGATTGGCGATTCGGCAGTAAAATAACGCCCATCGAAGAGCTGGCGATGGGTCTGGTGACGGGTATGGTGACTGCCCAGGCTTTTCTGTCTGATTCCATACCGATATTCGAAAATGAAGTTCTGATGCCGCTTGAGAAAATTCATGTGATTGTATTTGTGTAATGATCTGAAGCTGTTCAAAGCTGTGATGTGTGTATGGTGTATAGAGCTTTGCAAGTAACATGAGGTGTATGTAAACAGTCGTCTTATGAGAACCCCATCTACCATTCCTTCCATTTCCAGATTTTGTGTCCCCCAACCTAGAAGTTGCTCTCGATGCACAATCATGAATGGAAGCTACACTTATGCCTGTTTCTCTCCAAACAAATCATTCCAGAATTCCTTGAAACCATATAAGGGTCTCTTAGAATCATAGACATTAACTTTGTCTGATCCGAATCGTTCCATAATACCACCAGGACGATGTCCAATCTTCTCAACTAGCTCCTTAGCTGGTCTAGTCGCTCTTTCTTTGATAGCGGCAGCTAATTGGGGTGCAACATCTGCATAACATGATTTGAGTTCGCGTTCCAATGAAAAGTACGGCTTCTTCGCAAGATCTGGTGCCATGAGATTGTAAGATCTTGTTTTACTGTTCAGATCGGTGATGGCCAACTTAAGATATGATTGTTCGGATTCCTCCCAAGATGGTATTCGAAATGGCGGGGGGAGTGCTGCAGATGTTTGTTCAGAAGCTGGCTGCCTGTTCGTCTCAAGAGGACTAATTTCTCCAATGTCAATCTCATCCTCTTTTGTTTCCGCAAGAATTTGAATAACTGGATCCCCACTAGACGAAGACGGAACTTCTTGTACGATTTTCACCATAACTGGATCGTCTGTAGCATTTGTGGGAACAGATATCTGCTCCACTGCTCGCTTCTTGGGGTTATGGACAGCTTCGGATTGTGCATATATCTCTGCAGTTCTCATTTGTTCCTGCAAGGTACCACCTCGGCTTGCAATTGTTCTTGCAGCATGTCGCTTCCAGTCATTCCGTAATCTGGTCCTGAAAATATTTGCAGTTTTGACAAGTTCTTGTTGTTTCTCTATCCATGGTGGCACAATATCTTGTCGCTGTATCATCTTGTTCATGATGTATTCGGTTGTGTCAATAAATGGATTGTCGGCTCTTGCATCTCTCTCTATTGCTTTTCCCCTGGGAATATTCTGCGAATAAGAGATTAGTACCATAACATCCCAGGGTGATCACGAAACCTAGACTCACCTTGAACTGACCACGAGCAATGGCATCTTCAATTCTCTCATTGGCCAAAGCAGCCAAACCTCTGATTGAATTCGGCATGGGTCTTGCACCAGGCGAGAATCTTTCTTTAAGCTCCTTTCTAAACTCCTCCCTCTCTCGCTCGCTCATTTGGCTATCCTTAGAAATGGTATAGATTGACGTTTTATCTCTCGCATTTGCTAACCTTTCGCCAGGTCTCTGTTTAGGCTGTTTCTTCAACCTCAAATCCACAATTGGCGATGGAATCTTTCCCGGCCCTCGTAACCCAGGATTGAGTGGTTTCCTAGCATCATCCAACATCCGCAGAACCGTATCCTCAGCTGCTTCTTGCCCGGTCCATGCTTGCCCTGTGGCAATATCCCGAGACCCACGACCAATATTGGATGCAAAGCTTGCTTCCGTAAAGGCAGAGACATTCTCGGATTTGAATTTTGAAGCTTCTACTCTTTCAAGTAATCTTGCCTTCAACTCTTCAGAGAAGCCCGCCTCTTCCACAGCTTTTCGTCCGGCTCGGCCACCTTCTAACAGAGCATCTTCTGTAGCTTCCAAGAGACGCCTTGACATCGCCCCTAGTTCCTTTTCTACTCCTTTCTTTTCCGAGTCATTCTTGGAGACTTCCTTCAATATCTGAGCCTCGATTGAAGCTTGATCTTCCGAGTCTTTCGTTACTTTGCTAGCATCTTCCCCTCGAAGTGGCGACGCTTGTGAGAATTGTCGAGAAGCATTCTTATGCAAGTTTGACGCTGCATTTTGCTGCTTTGTAGCTCGCAGACAGCGGGCGCATTTAAATGTAGATTGTGATACTAAGCGGTGCATATAGAGAAGTATAGAAAGAAACGGTATGAAGGTGAATTCATGGTGCCATTCGATGTTTATCATCAACACAATAGGTACCCTGCCTGTAAATTTTAGTCTGACGGCGATAAGATAAGAAATCCGAGCTCCAAAGTCAAACTCCCGGTGATCCTTGAAAGGTCGAAATCCTCGATGAACTTCTATCCCCCGATGGGTTTCTTATAAAAATTTTACATTTTCCTCATTAATCATATTCTCATTCCTAATCAAATCATCTCTCTGGCTCCTAAGTTCCTCTTAAAAGCACTATTCCGAAAATTCACGCCCAATTGAAACCTTCAATCCGCTCATTCGCATTGACAACAAGTATCGATTGATCCCGCATCCTATATTTTTACTCCTCGATAAGTAGCATCTATTACTGTTAGTAGAACTACCTCGACATGCTGTCGTTAACTACCTAGGAAGGTGATTAAATATTTTTCTCCCAAAACCTCGCACTCAATTTTGTAAACGTAATCAATCATGCATACAAATAACTATCTATACACGTCTCTCATCCCCCGTCCTTCATTTCCATTTATCAAATGTCCTTATCCTAAGTTCTCTCAGTTCATACCATCATCTGGTCTCATCGTCTCACCTAAATCAATTATAGCAAAGGAGAAACACGCTGCATAATGCCACCTCCGTAACCCGTACTGATCGTAGTCTCGCATAATATCGTACAAATATTTCATCCACTCATGCCTTCATCAGATATTCGCCCATCCATGCACCGCATCCGTCCATTTAATCAATCCAATTCAACGGAGTCTACGCCTTCTTACTTTCTTCCTGCATCTCCGCGTGCTGAACATGAACTAACTCTCCATCATCTACTTCCTCGGCCTTTAACCTCGCATCTTCCTTTGGACCTTTACTCGCACCCTCGCTTCCAGTTCCACTCTCAACTTCACCTTCGCCCACCTCCTCTACCATTCCCACATGCACAACCTCATCATCATCAGCCCCGACTCCTCCAATCCCACCAGCCCTACCATCGTACTCATCCTCATCCTCCAAACTCGTTCTCCTCTTCGCTTCTCTTGTGATACTAACCCCCACCCCATCATTATTGTCAAAATTATCCTCAAACCCACTTCTCCCAAACCCACCTTCATCGTCATCACTGCTTCCCTCCTCATCCTCATCATCCTCGCCCTCTACCTGAAAGGGGTTGACTCCCTTTGACTCCCTCTCCTCGCCTTCAGCTTTCTCCCCATTCACCAATTTCTGCTTGCTATGCAGCGCCAATCTCGCAGCCAATTGTCTTCTAGCGCGGCTTGGTGGGATATTGAGAGGGGGTGGAGGTGGCGGTGGTGCTGAAGGAGGTGAGAGATCAGAGGTAGATGTTGTGGTTGAGGGTGTGGTAATATAGCGAGAGAACTAGATGTAACCACATTAGCATATATTTTGGTACGATACAATTATCAGAGAAATAAGACATATTCCAAAGGGGGAAAGCTAAGCGGTGGATAAAAGCAATTGGGTAAATAGCAAATAAATGGCGGGTCCAGATGAGAGTAGATAATTAGCCCACCCACTAGGGAGCAACGTTAAAAAAAGATTTGCGGACACTAATCATTGATTACAACACCAGATCGACATCACAGCTGTCACCACCACCAACCATATCAGAAAGGGGGTGAAAGGATTATATCTCAAAAATTGAATCTCTTTCTCTTGATTTAAGGAAAGAGAAAACTCCAACAATACTCCTCATTTCATACCAACATTAATGTCTTCTAAATTTCTGAAGCCAGAAACAACAAGCCCCAAAGATCTAAAAACGCCACTTGTAATGTTGTTTGGGAATAAAGTGCCAGAAAAGTCGTACTGTACAGGAAGAAAGGAAGACAACATGTGTTTTTTACTGATTAAGAACTACCCTGATCAAAATCCTCGTCCTTCTCTTGAGGAAACAGAGGTGATTCACGATCGAGTTGCTCCAAATATTCATAATCAACGTCCAGGTCGTCAAATTTATCAAGATTGGGGGCTGATGGAGGAACAGAATGACCCACTTCTGCCGATGTACCACCACTATTCTTTCCTTCCTCGTCATTGTCTTCTTCCATTTCATCATCTTCCTCATCACTAGAACTTCCAAAGCCGCTCAGTAATGTACCCCCAGTGATGAAGTTGTTGCCATTCCCATTGTTGTTAGCAAGTTCAATGCTGTCGAGACCTGTTGACCCGTTAAGGCCTGCGTCGGCGAGAGCAGACGATGCGTTTCCGAAATTATTAGCTGCGTTTACCGCATTCATGACTGCTTGTCGTGGGCCAACTGCCATATCTGGTCGGACTCCTCCGAGAATTGCATTATCCCGTTCCCGAGTTTCTGCCAGAGTGACCTCCACATATGGGATCCAATCACCATTCATAACTCTCTCTAACACAGAGTCAGATAAGAGCTCAGGAGGATGTCGTTCTGTAAATTTCACGACCTCTTCGGCGATGAGTGTAAGATGGCCCATATAACCAAGTCGCATCTTGTTCTTTTCTTGTGCCTCATCACTCTTCTTTTGACCATCAACAATTCTCATTGTGATGTCTCCAGTCTCGAAGAGGTCGATCGCAAGTGATCGATTATATCCACGATCCATGGGTCCATTAAACACTTGTTGTACAACGTCATATACGACATTATGTAAGAAGTTGTTCCAAGGAAATCGAAAGAAGAAATCCTACACTGATTAATTCAAGTACTCAAATATGATGCCTGGTGAAAACTTACTAAGATAGTTGGTACAACTTTATGTTCAACAAATTGCATCTTGAGATAATCTCCAACTACAGGAGCACCTGCAGTTGCCAGCGATTGGTCTTGGGAGAGCTCCCCCGTGTTACCCATCAGTACGGAATTGTTGCCTTCACCAGCATCGCGCATAGTAGTATCGACGCTG